TTTCTGTTTTTTGTAACAAAAACTTTCTTTCTTATAGAAATATGAATATGATGTAACACTATAGATCAACTTACCTCAGAATATATAAAGCATATAAACAATTACAGCAATATGATGCAACAAACACAACAGTACTAATCCAAAAATACTAAAAGCTTCATAGAACTGAAACAAACATTTATTTTTAGCGCCATTCTGCTGCTGATACATACTTTAGGTTTCTGAATATTAAATTTGTTGCTGCCTTTCATAGTGTTTAACTTGAAGGCCCTGAGTACTTTCTCCCACACTGAAAACACTGGAATGATAAAATTATTTGAACATTACCTAATAAGCCTGATTCAGGACAGACCGTTATTTTAAACTTTTTTTTTTTAGCAGTCCTTCACAAACAGGGAACAGTCCCTCCGCCACTGCCTCGATTGAGTTTTGGACGAAATGGATTCTGGGATATTGCATTTCGTAATTTCGAGCTGATTGGAGACCAAAACAGCCAATCAGATTTTTTTGCATCCAAGTCTGTGATTGGTTTTGTAGCACAAATATAACGGTGTACAGAAAGAGTTGAGCGCGCACGGGCAGAAATGTTGAGAGCGCAAATGCAAAAACTGAGCAAGAGGGGCTGCTGCTGTGTGTGGATAATAGCAAACACTGAAATACATTTTTTTGCACGCAGCAATGAATTTTGTTCACTCAAATTCAGCTTTTCTTCGCTCAAAATAAATTTCTCCTCAAAATACAACACTTGCACCGGCAAACCTCTTTTACGTGCGCTCAGAATAGTGGCACAAAAATAACGCCATGCCGTGATATTCAGGACTGCAAACAGAGCAGCATTCACTGACTTTCAGCTTGTTGTGTTTTTGGATATATGACTGACTTTTATTATCCATAAAATCATCACATTCTCTGTAGGATTAAGGTCAACTATTGAACGGCGTATATTTTAAAGCAAAGGCTTTAAAACCAAGTAAATGCTGAAAGTACAAACATCGCTAATGTCACATAACTTTGCCGACATGTGGACAACAGTAATGTTTTAATGTTCTTCATTGTTACGTCCCCCCGAAGGGGTCTAGGCATGCGAGTGAGGGGACCAGTAACAAATGAGTCCAGAACAGAATGAAAGGGAAACAGACAGGTGTTTTTAGTAAATAAAATAGTCTTTATTATAGATAATCTTAACATAAAGAACCGGCAACGCCGTTTTACCAATAACACTTGGA